TTAGAATTTCCTTAGCAGGGTTGTATTTTTTCAAACTACTGCTCATCAAAGTGCATAGTAGAGGTCTTTCGAAACCAATGAGATTTTCAAAAGTTGCTTGTCATATGATGTGGGGATCATCAGATCAAAGGAATAAAAATGTGCAGTGGAAACAAGTGAAGCCTTTTGCATAACCCTCAACAACCCTTCTGATCCCAACCAATGTTTTTTGGATACATGGCAGTACTGAAAGAGAATCTAACAATAGTACCAAACCACAACTGTTGCAATTAATGTACAGATGTTTGAGTATGTGCTTATACCAGGGGTAGGCAACCTTTTTGAGCCGGGGGCCGGGTTACTGTCCCTCAGACAACTGGGGGGCCAAAGCACCAAAAATAAATAAATAAACAAACAAATAAATAAATAAAAAATTTTAAAAAAATTAAAAATGCATGCACACTTTCTCAGCCCCAGAAAAGACATGGCAAAACCCCTGTGGAGATTTTGCCAAGAAAGCCTCAAGAACAAGTAATAACAATAATATCATCATGGCGGCGGTGATGGCAGCAGGACCGGCCTGGGGCCGGTCCAAAGGCCTCAAGGGGCCGCATCCGGCCCCCCGGGCCTTGAGTTGCCTACCCCTGGCTTATACTTTCTGAGATGCATAGAATTCAATATTCTGAGGATCACAGTTCTCTATTCAAAGGTGGTGGCAGCGGCAGGAGATCTGTAAAGATAGTGAAAGTTGGGGCACAGTAGATGTGTTGTTGAATAAGCTTCACAGCCTTGCAGAGCTTTCTATCGCTTCCTCCCAAATCTCCCATAACTCTAATCTCTACAATGTCCTTTCTGTCCAGCTCCACTCACTTCATTTTCCTTGCTTAAATCTCAGAAACAGATTTCTACACAATATATACTAATTCAAATGTCCAAAAATTAATTTTAGGATAGGAGGTTGATTTGATTTTGAAACCATCCAAAATATTACAAATTTAAGAGTTATGAACCAGCCACAGATAGGTCTTCATACACAGTGGGCCCTTGGTATCCACTGGGGTTTGGAAGTCAATAGGGGGTGGGCTAGGCAGTTCGCTCTATACAACTGATGCCAGAGCCGCGCGCCGAATTTTATAACCAGTACTAATTGTAGAAAA